CCCTTCCCCACCAGCATTTCTCTTTGAAACAAGATAGAGGCACTGGTTACAGGGATCATCCCACTTAAAGATTAAAGATTCAATCTTTCTCTAAATACTTTCCAGATTATGAAAATGGAAAACCAAGTTCCTCAATTAACCAAACCAAACTACACACACATACACATATTTGTCTTCCAGTACTCTGAAAATGCTTTAATTATAACTCTTGTTCAAGTGAAAAAGAGCCAAATTAAAATCTGAGTAGTAATTTATGAACAATTCTTTTTTTTTTTTTTTTTTTTTTTTTTTTAATTTTGCCTAGCGGTACTAGAAGGGGTTGAGGAGAGATTGAGAGAGCTTGAGAAATAACTCCCCCATGGAAAATGCCATAATCTCTTCATTTCTCCCTTTGAGAATTTTGGGCATATGTGTGCACACATCTAGCATGTTTCTCAAGTCCATGGGTCTGAGACTTGAATTGCAGTTGGCCAGTGGGATCCTGCTGCCTTAAGCATCATGCCATAGGTTGGCTGAGGTCCACTATTTTTTAAATTTTAATTTTATTAGTCATTGTAATTTACTTATTTAAGTTGACCAGAGAGAAACAGAAAGGTAAAGTGACAAAGCAAGCAGCCAGGTCTGGGATTTAAACCATAGTTGGTTATGTGGGAGTCCAGCACCTTAACTACCATGCTGCCTGCTGGTCCCACCCACCTCCCCCTCTTTTAAAGAGATTTGTACTAGAGGATGTGTGTGCTTTGCCAGAGAGAGCCAGAAATCACTCCCCAGGAGGGATGACCACCCTACAGTCCCTTCTCCATTCTCCTCTTGGGATCTTATTCATTCACATACACATGCCTGGTGTGGGTTTTAAGCTGGTGGGTCCGGGACTCAAACTGCAGTCAGCTATGTTGGAGTCCTGTGATGTAACTATTATGCTGTCTGTCTGCTGATCCCGGAGGTCTACTATTAAGCCATATCAAATCCTGTTAGATGGGTATTTGTATATGAAGTAAGACTGTAAACTAGGGGCTGGCAGGTGGTGTGGTGAAGGACATTGAACTCTCACATGGCCAACAGCGGTTCGAATCCCGGATATGGTGGCCTGCTTTCTCATTCCCCCCCCCCGGCCTCTCTCTCTCTCTGTCCCTCTCTGGTCAAATTAAAATAAATAAAGTTAAATTTAAAAAAAAAGACTGTAAAGTAATGATAGATTGAGGCTTTGATTTCAGTATTTATGATATATCAAATATAGATATGTATGTTTTTCTAAATTGAAGCGAGAGGACCAACAGATGGTGCAATAGTTATATCACTGAACTCCCAGGTAGCGGCCAAGACCCAGTGGCTTAATACTCACGTCAGGTGTATTTGTATGTGTGCCCATGTTCCTGAGAGGAGAATGGAGGAGGAGAAGGGATTGAGGCATGGCCACCCCCCTGGGAGATGATTTCTCCTTTTCTGTCTTTCTGCCTTTCTCTGGCGCATGTGCCCTAATAGCAAAAATCTCTCTAAATTTTTTTTTTATTTAAATGAAGAGCATACGTACATCTGAGATCTGTGCGAGTTGTACATTTAGTCTAAGAAGCCTGCCTGAGTGTGTTAGATTTTATTTTAAGTAGAAAAAGTTTGAGACCTATAACTCCCTAGTTTTTTTTTCCAGTCTCAGTTGCTTATTCTTTTTTTCCCTCCCCAAACCAGTGATTTTTAAAAAAGTTTTAATACTTGGGACCTGCAGTTAGCGTAATGGCTATGTCGCTTTACTCCCATGTAGTCGACCGCGGTTTGCGTCCTAGACCCAGTGGCTTAAAACTCACGCCAGGCGCGTGTGTGTGCGTGCCCAAGATCCCAAGAGGAGAATGGAGGAGAAGGGATTGCGGTGTGGCCATCCCCCCTGGGGGGTGATTTCTCGTTTTCTATCTCTCTGTCTCTGTCTGGCTGGCGAGCACATGCGCCCTATAGCAAAAACCTCTCAAAAAAAAAGTTTTAATACTTGACGGACTCCAATACTCGTCTATCCTAAATTAAACTTGAATAAAGTTTCAGTTTTTAATTTTTCCAAACCAACCAAAGCTAAAATTAATATTTTTCCTTAGCTGAGTAATGGAAGATTTTTTAGAAATCACAAGTAAATACATATACTGCAAAAATCCTTGTGGAAAATGGAGAAAATGACAATAAAAGTAGAGGAATGAATTCCTTAATTTTTTTTGTGTGTATTAAATTTGCATATGCATTAAGAGTATTAAAGGGGTAAATATTTTGTATATGAAACCTTTAAAATTAGTTTCAACAGCTATACATTTTTCCTTGGTGAGAATGAAGACCCTTGCAGTTTAGCCATAAACATAGCTATTCTAAAATAAATAAATAAATAAATAAATAAATGAAATAGACCTGTTCCTTTGTAGTGAAGGACTTCTGATATAGTCAGATATACCATCACCAAAAGGTGCTTTGGATTTTGAGTTAACAAAAACACTTACCACAGAACACCATACAAAATGGTAAAACTGGATAGATAAACCTAAATTCTTTGTGTCCCAACATGCTAAAATAAAAAAGATATTAAAAGAATATATTAAGTAGTATATTACAGTATAGAGCAGTTAATGCATTTAATGTGAAGCATAATTAACATGATTTATTTTCTAAGTATTCACACTGAATTTGCTTTAGAATTGTTATTTTTTTAGTTAATAAGGTGATTAGTGTGTATGAAAGCTGATAATATTTGATGTTAATATGAAAGTATAAAGTACACATTATATTCTAAAAAAGGAACTTCTAGGGGCTAGCTGATGGCACAGCAGTAACACAACTGGACACACTCAGACAGGTTCCCAGTTCCTGTCATCGGGCTTCCTTTTACATGCTGGGCATTCACGTGTGCCATGTGTCATGTGTGCCTCAGGCTGCCTGAGGCTGAGAGGGATCACGGTTTGAGGACTCTGTTGGTACTGTCTCTGTCTCTTTCTCTCTCCCTTCTTTTTCTCTCCTGGAATAAACTTTCCAAAGAATATAAAATATAAAATGAAAAGAGGGTTTCTATTACCAATGCAAATAAGTAATATACAAATTAGGAATAAAGATACATACATTATAATTTTAGAATAGTATATCTCTGGTCCTTAAATTTTTGGTATTGTTAGCTTTATGTATTTATTTATTTATTTGAGAGATTTTTGCTATAGGGTACATGTGCTCGCTGGAGAGACAGTGAGACAGAAAGCAAGAAATCATCCCCGGCAGTATGGCCATGCTACAATCCCTTCTCCGCCATTCTCGGGATTTGGGGGCACACAGGCACATGTGCCCAGCATGAGTTTTAAGCCATCAGGTCTGGGACTTGAACTGTGGTCAACTACGTGGGGGTCCAGTGATATAAACATTACACTATCTGCTGGTCCCTATTTTCAGTTTTTTCTTTTTTAAGTAAATAAAATGTGTTCAACTTTTTAGAAATTGAGTGTAATTTTTGTTAAGCAAACAATGTATCTGATGTACTCACTCTTGAGTACCAGCATAATTACTATTACTTCTGTCTTCTAGAATAATTCTCACTAACAAACCATAAGAGTTCATGCATCCCTAAAAGGTCAACAGTTTACTTTTTGAAGAATTTGGTGAATTTAATTTCTTGGTAATGTTAGAATAACTAATATTTAAACAAAATCTTACCTGTAAACTAGCACTGTCCACAGCACAGTCACCAGAAGTATGCGGTACTTCTTTGGGGCTAGGAAGCAGCCATGAATAAAGAAGGGCAAATGAGTACCCAAGACCACTGGAAGTCCTTGACTGAAGTACCAGTGCCATGGATGAGAGCCATAAAATGTCCCCAAGTTCTGCAGCACGTTAAATTTCAAGAAATTAAACTGAACGAGAATCCACTGGCGTAATCGAAGGAAACGGAAATAGAAATGTGTTAGTACCAAGTGTTAATCTCTGGCAATAGGTACTTTTAAAAAAAAATTTATTTATCATCATTATTATTATTTTAAAATTTGCTACAGGACACGTGAGCTCACTAGAATCAGACAGACAGAGAAAGAAAGAAAGGAAGCAAGAAAGCCACCAGGTCTGGGACTCAGACCACTGTAGGCCATTTAAAAGTCCAGCGCCTTAACCACCACACACCTATTGGCCTCAGCTTTAGGTAATTTCATAGAATCGTAACTTTAAGTTAGAACTGAAGTCTTAAAACCAGACATTAGTACACATTAATGACATTAATGATTTTGATTAATAATGGCATGAAATATTCCTGTGGTTTGAATGTACCCCTCCATATGAGTTGATGTTTAGTAGAGCTATTTGTATCAGTGTGGAGAAGGTAGAGACCAAATCCAATTATGGTGGTGAAAGATGGGGCCTCTGGGATTGGATAATGGTCATCAGAGTGGGCTCTCTATGACTGACTCCTGTTAGCACAGACATATCAACATATCCCTGCTCAAACGCTTGCTCTGTGCTGCCTCAGGACCCTTCAGTAGGGTCCCCACCAACAAGAAAACTTAACAGATCCAGCTTCTTGACCTTGGATCTCTAAAACTATGTGCTAAAGAATAAACCTCTAATCTGTATAGATCATCTAGTCTCAGGTATTCAGTCACTAAACAACAGAGGATAGACTATAACAATCATTTTTTCCCCTTTTTTTTGTATGGAGGTGTATGCGTGCATATGAGAGAAAGAGAACACCCTGGTCACACTGCAATCCTTTTTCCTCTCATTTTCTATCCTGTCAAGATTCCAGACATATGTGCATTCACCTGGCATGTCTTGTCTTGTCTTTTTTTTTTCTTTTTTTTGCAGAGGTTTTTGCTATAGGGTACATGTGTTTGCCAGAAAGACAGAGAGAGACAGAGAGACAGAAGGCGAGAAATCACCCCCCAGGGGGGATAGCCACACCACAATCCCTTCTCCTCCACTCTCCTCTCGGGATCTTGGGCACGCATACACATGCGCCCAGTGTGTGTTTAAGCCGCTGGGTCTGGGACTCAAACTGTGGTCGACTACGTGGGAGTCCAGTGACATAGCCATTACGCCAACTGCTGGTTCCCCTGGCATGTCTTTTCAAGCTAATGTGACCTAGATAGGAACCAAAATTAGTCATGTGGAATCTAGCACACAGTGCCTAACCCATGTGTTCCAGGTCAGCCCTGTCAGTCATTTTTAACTGTTACCTTTTTCTTTAAGTAGTCATGTGTTCTTTGGTGATTTGTTAAATTACTTAAATTATCAAGATGAATCTCAAGAATTATGAATAAAACATTCATACACATTTGACAATGTAAATTTTAAATAGCAATAAGAATTCTAAAAATAATTTTCAGGAATTTGTGTATGGTACTCATTAAAAATTTCACTTTATAAGACAGGTGGGTGGTACAGAGGTAATGCAATTGGACCCACACGGGAAAGGTTCTGGGTTCCCATCCCAGGACCTCCCTGAGTATGTGGTGCATATGCACAAGTGCCTGTGATTTGGACTGGCAAGACGGGTTGGATCATAGTGTGAAGATCCTGTTGAGAGTGTCTGTCTCTCCCCCCATCTCTCTGTCTCATGGAATAAATCATTGTTTTTTATTCTAGTACATTATGATGTCACATAAGATAAAGCTTTGAAACATTACAACTGCAGCATAAAGCAGACGACGACAGTACCAGCTACCATGGTAACAGGCAATGTTAGCTGCTCACTTGTGCCAGGTGTGGGTGTAAGCATTCGTCATAAGGAAAGTCATGATGTATTTTTGCACAGAAAAACAAAGATATGTCATGACTTTCCTGACGACCTATACATGCATGCATTACCTCATTTAACTCTCCAGCATTATGAGACAGGCACCACATTTACTTCCAGGTAAGGCACCCACAGCAAGAAAGGTAAGAAGTTTGTCCACAGTCGCATAGCTGATAATGACGACACTAGGTTTAAAACTGCCAGTCTGATTTAAAGCCCACTTGTAACTTTAAAGGGGGAAAAGGGAACTTGGAAACAAAAACTACTATCTATAGTTACAGTGTTATAATCTCAAAACAAATTAACGAAGAATAGAGTATTTTGGCTAATTTGATTTCTGGATGATTAAGAGTCAATTAATTAAAAACTTTTATTATTACAGATCTAGCAAAAATGTGGAATTTGTCTCTCTGGTCAAACTGAAAATAATATGATGAATAATCAATTTTTTAAAATGTGCTTCTGTTCTAAAATATTGATAGATTAAAAATCCAGATTAAGGTTTCAGTTAAATAAATGGTTAAAATTAAAATAGCTGTTAGCTTACTGTATTTTTTACTCACCTGACCAAAAAAAATCCGATCAATTATCAGAGATAAACTCAAAGTGACAAATCTGAAAAAGAAAATAGATGATATTTCATATTGCTGAAGTTGAAAGTCCACTACTGGCATGGGGCTTTGGATGTAGCTTGTATCAAAAGCCACTTTAAAAATGCTTTACAATTTTACCAACTGAAAATGTATTTATACATTTCAAAAGCTCTTTCAGTGATGAGAAGATGCATTTTAGCACACTTGAAGAAACTAATAAATCCTATATTAACATACTGACTACCCTAAACTTGGTAAGTTATAACTGGATAATATTTTACAGTTCTTGTGGAGCATGCATCCAGCTGTGGCTTATCTGGATACTTTTGGCTAAGGTCTCACATAGTCAAGCTCTTTGCTGGGGCTGTAGTCTCATCTGAAGGCTTTACTGGAGGTAGGGGAGAGGCTGGCTTCCACATTCACTCACATGGTTGGTGGTGGTGCTCGGTCCTTCTACGCATGACTCACCTTGAGACTGCCTCATGATATAGTGACTGGCCTCCATCAGGGTACGTCAGCCTGCTTTTTCTTTATAATTAAGTTCTATTTAGGAAATTCTTGCCTGCCTCAAGTTCATAATGTTTTGCTGTCACATCTTGCTGAAGCTCTACTGTTTCCCTTTTACATTAGACTCTGTAAGTCCTTGGTTTTATGTGTATGGCTGCTGTTAAGCTAAGAAGTAAGGGTTGGGGACCGGCAGGTGGCGTAATGGCTATGTTGCTGGACTCCCATGTAGTCAACTGTGATTCGAGTCCTCGACCTGGTGGCTTAAGCCCATGCTGGGAGCGTGTGCGTACATGCCCAAGATCCCGAGAGGAGAATGGAAGAAAAAGGATTGTGGCGTGGCCATCCCCTCTGGTGTGTGTGAGGGGGGTTTCTCACTTTCTGTCTCCCTCTTTCTGGGGAGCGCACATGCTCTATAGCAAAACAAACAAACAAACAAACAAACAACTCTCCAAAAAGAAAAAGGGTCAAAATAATTTTTTGCCATATTGATGTGTGACTCTGTATTTGTTGAAAAGGCTATCCTTTCTCTACTGTTTTATCACCTTTATCATAAATGAAGTGGTTGCCTGTGTCTGAGTCTGTTGCTTAATCCTGTTCAGTTCTATCGATCTATTTCATTTACCTTGCTCTAATTCTAAGCTGTCTCAATTACTAGAATTTTATACTAAGTATTACTAGTAGTAGTATTAAGTCCTCCAACATTTTTTTCTTCTGTAACAATCTTAGCTATTGTTGGCTTACAACATTCCACTTAAAAGTTTAAAATCAGCTTATCAATATATATATATATATATATACCTGTACAAAGCCTACTGGGATTTTAATTGGAAATGCATTAACTGCATAGGTCAATTTGGGGAATACTAATACTTTAAAATATTCATTCTGGCATCCATAAATGTGGTGTATTTATTTGGGATTCTATTAGTTTTTTCCCCGTACTCTCTTACAGTTTTCTGTACAGAGATCTTATTTTTTATTAATTTAGTATTTTGGTTTTTTTGTTGTTGTTGTTATAGGGTACATGCACTCGCCAGAGAAAATGAGAAAGTGCCTCCCAGAGGTGATGGTCACACTACAGTCCCTTCTCCTCTGTTCTCTTCTTGGGATAGTGGGGACATATGCATAACCACATGGCAAGTTTTCAACCTGCTGGATCTAGGACTCAAACTGCACAGTTGGCCATGTGGGATCTAGCCACCTTAGCCACTCTGCCACTGGCTGGCCTTTAATTTACTTATTTTTTCCCTCCTTAATTTAGTTTTAAGTACCAAATGTCATTTGTTTTAGTTTATTTACAATAGAGTGCATGTGCATACATCAGAGAGAGAAGGAGACAGAAAAAGAAGCATCCTCTATAGGGCTGTTATGCCTCCATCCTCATCTTCTGGTCCCCCAGAATTCTGGGCATGTAAACATGTGCCTGATGTCTTTTTTTTTTTTTTTTTTTTTTT